TTCCTGTCGAGCTTCTAGAAACCCTGCTCGCTGTTAACCAGATCAAGGAGTCCTAGAACCAAATCCACCTAAGGCGAGGGGAGGCGATAAGGTTGGCCACCAGCCGTTTAATACATTTCTATCATAGCCGTGATATCACTAGCATCATCGTCGCTTTAACATTCACGCCAGGATCGACACCTTCCCATAGCGGCCCACATTTCGGAGAATGTTGAAAGTGCGAAAACGCGAGTGAGTCCAAACTCAATCTTCGACGGCATGTATGTCTAAGGGGAGGCGTCGCATAGAGAGTAGATAGTGTTCATACACGTCATCTATAATTTACTCGTGGGATAATTTCATCAAGAGAGTCGCGGTTACTCTAAGCTAGTCATCCCAAGTTTACGCTCCTCACCATGACAACCTCACTTACTCTGTTCAGAGGTTCACCAGCAACAAACACGTATGTCTGGTCCCCGTTTGTCACAAAACTCGAGGCGAGACTGCGGTTTGAGGATGTGTCCTATAAACTCGAAGTCGGGTCACCAAAGTCAGCTCCCAGAGGCAAGATCCCGTACATACAACTAAGTGGGAACGAGCAATTCGGTGACTCTACGCTCATCATTAAGCAACTGGTCGCCAGTGATCTCCTATCTGATCTCAATGCCAAACTTCCCCCGACGGAAAGGGCACAAGATCTCGCCATCCGCGCTCTATTGGAAGAGAAGCTTTACTTTTACACTGTCAGAGAAAAATGGCAGGACAACTATGCGACGATGCGAGATGGTGCCCTTGCCGCCGTTCCCTGGCCTATCCGGATCGTGGTTGGCTGGATCGCTCAAAGCACCCTGTTGAGGACTCTTTATGGCCAGGGCTCGGGGAGGTTAGACGACCAGGAGATTTCGCTGCTGCGAAGCGAAATTTGGGACGCCGTAGATGAGCTACTCCTTGAAGCCAGACAGAAGTTATCGGGGACGGGAAAGGAACCATTCTGGTTTCTCGGGGGGGCACTGCCAACGGAGGCAGATGCGAGTCTGTACGGGTTCATCACTGGATCATTGGTTTGCACTGCGTATGTTTCCAATCTCCAAACCTTCCCCAAAACCTGTTGTGGTGAAACTGACATGTGAATAGTTGCCCCGTCAGCAGAGATATCGTCAAGAGTTATCCGGTTCTGATGGACTATGTGGAGAGGATCCATGATGCATACTTCCCCGATTACGAGCGTTGGGATTAGATATCAGTTGAGGGAGAGAAATTATAATAAGAACCTTTGCTCGTAGTGAGCACATGATCAGGTGCTATGTCACACGTGGAGTTATGAATTACAGAGGGCGTTTACGTACATGAACTTCACACCATATATCTATGTGTCAGTTCCTCTCAGGGGAGAAGCTAGTTGAGAGTGTTGTGTGGCAACGAAGTAGATAGAACAAAACACTGCCCACCAGGCATCACCGATCTTTGCTCATATGAGTTGTAGACCGGGTAAAATATTACAAAAGTAAACTCAAAACCCAGTAAACAAGGAACTATGATATGATATTTCCCTCTAAGATTTGTGTATCATTGGCATGATTGGGTTATATCATATACCAAACGCAATATTGTCAGTCTTGGTGATGTTAACTTTCAACTTTAGGGTAGGAGGCGTTGAGAACCAGATTGCAAAGGGGTCACGTGAACATGACAATATCCGTTGGATTCCCTTGCTTTGGATTTGCAGGCATCGTAGCTTTTATAATTCATATAAAAAAATTGATACAGATGTGGGAGTAGGGTCAACTATTTCTTATATCTTCGTCCTTTGAATATATTTGAGCCGGTTGACTCGGTCGGCGCTGGTTTGATCTTGTCGTGGAGCACACGAATTACTCCACTCATTTTTTACTCTGGTCACAACCGAGACAACACCAAAGTCAGCACAGCAACTCAGGCTTCGCTTTCTAGCAAGTCGTCAGACAAAGGCCTCGGAATGGCGCTCAAGTCGGCATGGTCACGACTGAGAAACCAGTCCTCATTTGCAAAAGCGGTCACTTATAATCTCATCGGCTTTGCAACGTGGATACCAGTGCTGGCCTGGATTAATCTGTACGTGGCCGAGCTCACAATTGTGGACGGGCCCTCAATGTATCCGTTCCTGAACTCGGACAAGGACTCGACCCTGCGAAGGGATGTTGTGTTGAATTGGAAGAGAGCACCCCCGGAGACGCTTCGGAGGGGGATGATCGTGACCTTGAGGTACATCTACTCGAGCCTTAACGAGCGCGAGCAATGGCTAACTAAAGGCACAGGAGCCCTCTTCATCCCGAGGTAACTGCTATCAAAAGAGTGGTTGCTTTGGAGGGCGATCTTATCAAGACAAAGCCTCCTTATCCGGTGCCAGTAGTCAAGGTGCCCGCTGGACATGTTTGGGTTGAGGGAGACGGCCCTCTCGGCTCTAGTCTAGACAGCAACACATATGGGCCGATCTCTAGGAGGCTTCTTACCGGAAGAGTGACACATATTGTGTATCCCTTTAAGAAGTTTGGGACGATCAATTGGCGCGAACATGAGCGGCCTCTCGTGTAATAAGATCGCTCCGTTGTATGTGGCGATTGTGAGTCGTACCCTTACTGGTCAGGTCACTGATATCATCTTGCATTGCACTGTAACTCTGTGTATACTAGCTTTTCCCAGAGGGCACAGTGATGCTCCTCTTGACGGACAGTTTTCTGTGTAGTTTAGCGCAATCTTCTTGTGCGATAATATGCAACTGTATTAATAAAGAAACAACACCGTCACCATGCTCAAACATTGGTGAATTCAGTAGCTTATCATCATCTATCAATGGGCGTCCAAGGCGTCCAAGGATTCCAAGAGTCTTAGCCCATCCCATGCCACCCATGACTTGGTCGATCGATTTGCCGTTGGGGCTGTACCTACAGTGGGGCAGCCAACGGTACATGCGCTGTGCTGCCGGTGCTCTGCAAGATGAATGTCACGACTAGCAGCTGGCATTGAATCGGCAAAAAAAATTACAGAATTCCGGCTCGCCGACACTCCTCTATCAATTTCTTCTGAACCAACACCTGCGCTCGGCGCAAACCGCTTTCACGACCTGCGTAATTTCTAGCACCCGACCCTCGCTTGAATTCACTCTCTTCCGTTTGCGAGGTCTCTGCGGCATCTACGCCAAAGCATTCTTTTCCTCTGCCCCCCTCAGGGGCCGTCCGTTCGAATTCCCCGTCCCTCGGCGATTGCGGAGCATTGGGCTGGTTGCGACGATATAAGACTTGGCCAGGAGGTCGTCATGTTGAATTACGCCCGGACGATCTATCGGAAAGAAAGTCTGGAGAGATCATAGCGGACACCAGACTATGGGTTCTCAAGATGACGTTGAAGCCGAGGGGCGCCCGCCATATTCTCATGTTAGTTCCATTCTCGTCGATAGTTTGTTTTCATCCCACTGACAGGTGTTGTAGGCCATGATTGCGGGTGGTATTGGAGGTTCGGTTGGTGACATGTTGATGCACTCTCTCGACACAGTAAAAACTCGACAACAGGGCGACCCGCACGTCCCCCCCAAATACACATCGCTTGGGCAGTCATATTACACTATTTGGAGGCAGGAGGGCATCCGGAGAGGCCTTTACGGTGGATGGATTCCTGCTCTTAGCGGATCGTTTCCAGGAACCGTTCTGTTTTTCGGCACTTATGAATGGAGTAAAAGATTTCTCATCGATCATGGACTTCAGCAGCATCTATCATACCTTTCGGCTGGTACGGGTCCTTTCCTCTTTGATCCTCGTGTACGAGTATCTGACTGACGATATTTCTACCTTTCTAGGTTTCCTTGGCGATCTTGCCGCTTCTATTGTTTATGTACCCTCGGAGGTGCTCAAGACTCGCCTGCAACTCCAAGGCCGTTATAATAATCCCTATTTTAAGTCGGGCTACAATTACCGCGGTACCATTGATGCCGCTCGTACCATCGTACGCACAGAGGGTTCTGCCGCCCTCTTCCATGGCTACGGGGCCACCCTGTTCCGTGATCTGCCCTTCTCGGCTCTGCAGTTCATGTTCTGGGAGCAGTTCCAGACCTGGGCCCGCCGTTACAAGCAGAGCCGCGATATTGGCGTCCCTCTTGAGCTCCTTACCGGCGCATCGGCCGGAGGTCTTGCCGGAGTCATTACCTGCCCCCTGGACGTCGTGAAAACGCGCCTTCAGACGCAGGTCAACGAGCCCTCCAAGACGAACGCCCCGAGCCCGCAGAAACGACATATCTCCACTTCCTCTCCAAGCACCCACCGCCCAAAGCCCGGGGCAATGAACCTGCAGACGTCTTCCGTCATCACTGGCCTCCGCGTCATCTACCGCACCGAAGGCCTGGCGGGCTGGTTCCGCGGCGTGGGGCCTCGAGGCGTGTGGACGTTTGTCCAGAGTGGGTGCATGCTCTTCCTCTACTCTCGCCTCCTCCGCACTCTGGATGTTTGGATGCCGGTGGAGAAGGAAGACCTGTAATACAATAAACGTTGATATATTTGGGAGCATCACGACGCCAGCCTTGTTTTGTATTAGGCGCCAGATGACCATATTTGTATAAATAGAAAGCGCCATGTGTATGAATGTGGGAGAAAATGATTTTATTGGGCGTTGGGGGATAGAAACGTGTGGAAATCTCATCATTCATACATAGACATAGACAATAGATTATGACATTCTTGTGTCACTCACTCCGCACTGATAAATGGGTGTTCCAGGGAAAGGGTTAAACTCGCAAACGTTCCGTCCATTTACTCAAGTCACCGGGCGAGCGATGTGCATCGGGAGAATTCAAAAGGCAAAGTGGTAGGTAATATTTGATCAACTAATCTAACAAACCTCCATCATCATAATAGCTCATGCGGTAAGAACAATGCGTTAAGGAAGGCTGCGTGAATGTGAATATTGAAAAATGCTAATAGACGTGACGGCGTTTCCATTTCGCTGCAACTATGTTGAAGGATCACCCTTTTTTTCATCCAACCAAAAAAAAATTTCTAAGCATCTGGGTCAATTTCTTCCTCTGCGGGAAGCGGCGAGAAATCTTCAAGGCGTGTCATTAACTCATCCCGTGCAGCACAAATGGGCACGGCCAGGGTCAGGGCGTTCCAGACGCTCTGGTTTTTGTCGAAAAAGTCAACGTGAACCTGGAAGCTGACAATGCCAGCGTCTCCTTTTGAAGAGTCCAGAGTGAGTACGAACACGTTGGTGCCCAAAATGTATAGGCCATATACAACTGGGGGCTTTCGGCGGAATTCTAGATTGGCGGGAGTTCGTGGCGGTGTAGTTGTGGACTTGGGTGCAACCCTGTAAGGGGTGGAAAGATCCCCAAACCCATCGACCTCGGTCAGCTCATCGTCACTAGAGCATGGGCTGGCGATTTGCCGTCGCTTTAGAGACCGGTATTCACTGTCATCGTGTAGTACTGTTGCAGGAGAGTCCGGTGACATTGTGGTCGTGTCATCACCAACCAGATCGGGGGTGGACCGTGTTGATTCAAGGCTTCTCTTCATTCCCGCTCTGATACGACCCGTTGGTGACTTGTTGGTTTTCCTCTTTGGTCTCATTAATCGTGGTTCAGTCGAGGTCCAGAAGTCATCACCTCGATCGACTCGTAGATACTCTCGCTGTAGCATGGCCAGCGCTCTTATGCGGGCAGTCATGTAGGCAACCACGCGCGCCTCCTCCTCAGGCGCCTCGACGACTTCGGCGATAATGTTGGGGATAATCTTAAGCTTATCATAGGAACCATCTTGTGCTGCCCAGCCAAGGGTTTTATCGAGTCTTGCTTTGAGGAGCTTTGCCACTCTTCGGCGGGCTGTCCGCTGGGTTGTGGGTGAGAGTAGGTTTTCTGATTCAATCAGCGTCCTGACGGAGAGCGTCAGGTCAATCAACTGCGACAAGACATGTGTTGCTACGCGGCGGTCAGTAACGTCGAAAAACAGGTGCATAGCCTTAGGAAGGCAAGGGTTCATACCAGCAAATTGGCCTGACATGGTTTCCGAGTGTGAGTAGATGACGGGCGGGTAGTCTTTTGAGGTCTGAAAAATATGGTCGGTCAGGGGAAATCCACGTAGGTCAATACTCCAATGCGGCGGGAGTATCGGGATATCTTGACGAAGGTAGAATATCTCGAACAGCCGCTCTTCTTCCTTCGCCCACTCCTTCGCGCCTGGGAATTTTTGTTTGTCTTGTTCCATTCTGTCTGACAGAGACATCTCAGCTTCTTCTGTGGCCTCATTCGCTTCCTCAGGATTCTCAGCTTCAGAATCGGAGGCTTGCTTTGCCGGTTTGTCTGCGTTGGATTTTGCCAATTCGTTCCCCTTGGCGGCGGACTCCTCCATTTTGAACATACTCCGGATGGATTCAGCCCATTGGATCAGGCTCTTTGTTGACAGAGCCATTGTCAAGAGATTGTCTGTCTACAGACAGATCCTAGAATTATGTCTTTGTTGGACGACGACACATGAAACACACACAGGAGGACCCTTATAGCCCAGGCAAAAGCAGGTGCCAAATGACGGTCAAGGATCTGACTACTTTGTGAGTCAAGAAGGAGGCTCTGTAGCTGCTATCTGCAGCCACGGAGCCTGGTGATGATTGACCGCAGGTTGAGTCACGAGGCACAAGAGAAAAAAGTGAGGCTACGAGGCAGTGAGAGGAGGTGTGGGAAGAAAACGCTTGCCTTGTTATTGCTACCACAAACGGTAAGTACCTGGGAGTTCCCATTCACACCCAACGACACTATCATGCATGAGCACTGAAGCCCAGTAATAAACCCGGTTGTCAGTGACAACTGCAGGTACCTAAAAGTGGGGAGGTTGGTTGTCAGAAAGAACAGGCAAACAGGCAAACAGGGTTCAACGTCTCTTGGTGTAGTCCGGCACCGGAACAAGTAAGACCCCGTTCCGCCCAATCAGCGCCCCCTGCTATCATTGAATTTCTTCGTGCTGAGAACTTGCGATCTTGAATGCACGATCAGAGGTATCTTCCAACGGCGACCACAAAGAACCATGGCCGAGGCAGTGAGTGTAGCGGCAAGGCAGCTGCCAAAGTTTAAGCTCGGCAAGAAACAAGTATTTCTGTATGTTTACTAGCTCTCTGAGCCAGCAGCTCTTCCAATTGCCCCCTCTTGTCACACATTCTAATTGCAGATCCTAGGCCCAACCATGTAATCACCTTTTTGCGAAAAGACCACCTTCCGCCAAACGAAGCCTGCTTCCACGTTCCTCTCACATTCACCAAGTTCGACCTGCGCGACTATCTATGGAATCTATATAATGTTGAGGTCACCAAGGTTCGCTCCTACGTCAAGGAGTTGCCTCTCACACAGAAGCCCGGCACACGCATGTGGTACCGCCCACGAGCGCAGAAGATTATGACAGTCCAGCTTGCCAAGCCATTCCAATGGCCTGAGGTCCCCACCAACACAGAGGCCTGGAACAAGGAGATGTTCGACCTGCGGGAGGAGAAGTACGAGGAGAACAACAAGGCACAGACCGAGAAACAAAAGATGGAGCTCCCAATGAAGAGCAGACAACCCATCACTCATGAAAGGAAAGAATTGTCAAAGCTGGCTAAACAAATGTTGTCAGGCAACGTGAAGTGGTCTAACGATGTCGTTTTGGATCCCAAGTGGGACAGTATTCTGGAGCAGGCTACGCAACAGAAGAAGACAAAGGAGGAGTCAAAGAAGACAGAACCACAAGAGCAGGAGAAGCCTTAGGGTTGGGGAGGGGAGCATATACAAAGAGAAGGATATGACCAGGAGGCAACCTAAGTTGTCGTGGGAGAAGATGATGAAAATGACCCACTTGTAATATATCATCAAATTGTACATGTATAACTACTGTACCAAGCATTCAGAGCATTTACTGAAATAGTCGGGAAAATAAAGAATTGCACCTTGGACGATGATACGCATGATGTCACTTTTCATCAACCCAGTGGTGCGCTTCCTGGAATTGTAAAACCTCATTCCCCCAACTCCACCAACCAGCTGTCAGATTACGTGCAAAAACTTCTAACCCATCGTAGCCAGGTCCTAGAAGTTCATCGAACAGTACACGCAAGTTCGGTTTCCTTGAATGCACATCTGGGACTGCAAAGATAGTTTTAGATCGAAGACCTTGAAGACTCGGGCTCCCAGTTCGCTTGGCAATCAGGAGTTTCTCCCATGGTTTCCTCCAAGCAGACTCAACGTCAAAGATAGGCTCTCCCGAAGCAGTAACCTTGACCCACGTCCATTCAGTTACTAGCTCAAGGCCCCACTGGGCGAAGGGTCCTGAAGGCGAGGAAAGAAAGTCAATTATGCTGGGCTTGTTAGTTATCCATATGGCAACGAGGCCATCCGTGGATAAGTGGGAGGGAATTGGTATATGTGAAAGTAGCTGGCCCATTTCATCCATATTGTAAGCCGTGCTGTAGCCAGTAGTTTTACGCCGAACGGAGCGGTTTGGCCAGGGCGGGTCAAGAACAATCAATCTGAATTTGGGCGCAGATTCCCTACATTGCGAGCTCAACTCCTGTATTGATCCGTGTAAATAGGTGGCATTTTCGGGGATGAAGGGGGCTGGTAGTGGATTGGGCGCATTCTCCTGGTCGGTGATCCGGGGAAGGCAATAGGATTCATGAAATGAAGAATGGGTGTGTTCCAAAGCATCCTGGATAGTCGCTGTGGTCATAAGGTCGGCAATTTGCGCCGCCGCACTCTTGTTCTGGCTTGCATATCCATTGTCTTTGGGTTCAGGTGTTTCAAACGGCTGTGCAATTGGCTCAACTGAACGAATGCGTCTGGTGACAATGGTCTCGTGACCAGAGGGTAGCTGGCACTCTTCCAGCGTGCGTGGGATATCAAGGATGATGATACCCTTGTCTGGGCTGCTGTACCGAACAGAAGCCGGAAGGCTACTAAGAATTCGGCTGTCCATCGGTTCCCGAGGGCCCAGGAAGCACCCCAAATCTCGGTTCCGATCGAAAGAGGCGAGTCATTGGAAGAAGGTCGTATTAGGAATTCAATCGCATGCCAAGTGCTATATCCGATGGCTGACTAAACCCACTACGACAAATAATCGCGGCTATCTAAGTAGGTACTGTCACGGCTATTAACATCATCTACATGGCAATGTGCAACATACCACTTTGACGCAACGAATGTCATACTCGATGTTGATTCTAAAGATGCCTCAAATTCTCGTGCTCCCGGCATCCCAGAATTGAAAGCCGCACGCAGCAAATGAGGGTTTCCGGCGGCATCGCAAGGCTTAAGATCTAGACTCGGCAAACCTCGGTTAGTGAGGGCCTCTCCACACCCTGTCCCTTGGGCCATGGGTTGTGGGCCTGGAACAGTGAACACCACCACTAAAAAGCCTTGGGGATTAATCAGTTGCCCGCATGACGTTCTGTAGGAGCTGAAACCCCCAAGTTTTCTGTTGCGTCCGGAGATCAACTTTGGCTGCACCCCGCAAACCCTACCTACGCAGTCTCACTGGGGCTTCCGTTCTTTTTCCCGTTACCTCCGGACTGTCGTCCTTTGTTTCCTACGCCCTCATCCCCCGTTTCCAAGCACTCCTTGCTTGGAGCGTTACGACTAGACATATTCCTCACCTCACTACCAATTTGTCTACGATTCGAACAATTTCCGCAGCGAGTTTATCCCATTTCAAAGTCTACCTAGACCGCGCCCACGTGCCGGCAACGTTTTTGTCCTCATGAGCCATGCTGCATCTATCGCGGAGGTGAACCCTGCGGACGCTCCAAGGCATCACCCGAGTACGACCGCGAACAAAAAGAATGCGCAGATTATACAGCATGTCGACGGCCATGGCGCAACCGACGCCGCAATCCGCAAGCAGACGAGAAGCTTAGATTATATATGGCGATCAGGAGTGGCGGGAGGCCTCGCAGGCTGTGCGGTACGTTGATAGAGCTGGCGATTTCATGGTATCATACTGACTTGGTTTTCCTTAGGCCAAAACCCTCGTCGCGCCCCTCGATCGGGTAAAGATTCTCTTCCAGGCGAGCAATCCTCAGTTCGCGAAATACACGGGCTCCTGGTTCGGCGTGGCCACGGCTATGAAAGATATCTACCACCAAGATGGATCCCGAGGTCTCTTCCGAGGCCACTCAGCGACTCTCCTTCGTATATTCCCATATGCCGCGATCAAATTCCTAGCGTACGAACAAATTCGGTCTATCATCATCCCGAGCCACAAGCATGAAACATCCCTAAGAAGACTGCTTAGTGGAAGTCTTGCCGGAGTCACCTCTGTCTTCTTCACATATCCTCTAGAAGTTATTAGAGTCCGATTAGCTTTCGAGACGAAGCAGAGTAGCCGGTCATCTCTGTCGTCCATTTGTCGAGATATTTACAACGAGCAGCCCGTTCATAAAGGCGCAGCGGCGAGACTGCCCCACGCCCCAGAGCCAATTGCCGCTGCTGCCGAGAAACTCCAAGCCGTAACCCCCAGGGTCGGCATCATCAACTTTTACCGCGGATTCTTGCCTACTCTTTTGGGTATGCTTCCATATGCCGGCATATCCTTCCTCACACACGACACTGTCAGCGACATGCTACGATCGCCATCGCTAGCCCAGTACACCACCCTACCTAAGAAGTCGACACACCCGGCCAACAAGCCAGCACCCCTTCGCTCGTGGGCCGAACTGACAGCAGGAGGCATTGCCGGTCTTCTGTCCCAGACAGCCTCTTATCCGCTCGAGGTTATTCGAAGGCGCATGCAAGTGAGCGGTGCGGTCGGCGATGGACGCCGACTGCACATCTCTGAAACGGCCGCCATGATCTTCCGGGAAAGAGGCTTCCCGGGATTCTTTGTGGGATTGACAATTGGCTATGTCAAGGTTATCCCAATGACAGCGGTCGCGTTCTTCACGTACGAAAGAATAAAGCTGGCCCTTGGCATCTAGAACTACAGGCAAAGAAAAGGAGTTTTGGCGTTGTTGCATTGGAAGGTTTATGGCGTGGCATTTGTCTTTTTTTGGATATGGTTCAGCATAGAAGGGTTCACATGTGTATTAGAATAAATTCCACATCATTATGATTGGGTTGGGTTGTATGTGTATACCAACTGGTACGCCAGCGCGTATGCGATGGAGGCGTTCCGAGGGCTGTTGATGCCCATCAACTTCTTTTTGTCGAGCAAGGCACTCTGTTCTACGAAAAGATTTCTTATTCATATTTGTAGGTATGCAACCGTCAACCGAAGCATATCAATATACTTTATGCCTGCATTTTTAGTTGTGCTTGGGGACTGGGATCGTGTACTCGAAGCCACCAATCTCATCATAGCGCCAGCACACCATAACTTAAATCGTCGACCGCGTAGAGACCTCTGCAGCCCGGAAGAAGCAAAGACGCAGATCCCGTGCGACTTTCTTGCGATCC